AAGTTGACCACCCCATCTAGAGGCTAAGCTTTGGCCACTTGGAAGGTTGTTTCCCTTTCATCCACACGTGAATCTGTGTATCTGTACGAGGATTATGCTTCCTCACAATGACATAACTTTTAAGATAATTATCGGTGCTTGTACTTATTGCATTTTAGTCCCTCCAGATCCCCTCCCCTGAATGCGTGTCTAAATGCCTGCTCACCAAGACTACACTCTGTGGCTCTGAAGAAATGGGGTGCAATTCGCAAAAACAATTGTCAAATATTGCCAGATAAAACCTTTTGGAGGCCCACAGGCTGTTTCCAGTGAAGACTGCACATTTGCTTTGTTGTTACGCGCCATTAAATCACTGCTGACTACAGTGAGCCTATGAATTAGTGACCCCAGAAGGCCTAATCATTAACTGTCTGTGAAGGAGTTGTAGAGGAAAAAGAGAGGGAACAGTGTGAGCTGTCCCCTCAAACCAAGACGACTGAGACAAAAGGAGAAACAGAGTCAGTAGGGATAATAGAAAGTGAAGAGTTAAATCTGAAAGAGGAGAAGGAGAGGGAATCAAAAGGAAAGAAGGAAAAGGTTGAGATCTGTCCGGTAGATGAGAGAGGGAAAGGGTAGAAGTTAGTTCTACCAGTCTGGAAGGAGGAAACAAGGGAGGAAGAAAGGAGGAAGTTCAGAGTTCCAGTGACTGAAGGGAAGAAGGTTGGAGAGAGAGATAAGGAAAAGGAGAAAGAATTGAAATACTGTATGATAGAATGTGGGGGCTGTTAGAAGGTTTCCCTAATTTGAAGATAGGAGGACTACTACCTAATCCAGAAAAAACTAAAGAGAGTTGCGCATTGGTGGATCCACTAGAATGGACTGCCGTGGTCTTTCCACGGGGACAAGGTCCCTCAAAGAAGGTTATTCATCCAGAGTCTACCTTCAACAGTCCACGACTGGAGGGGGAATTGGGCCAGACATCCCTGCTGTGGGACATTTTGTGCCATCCAGAGTGCTCCTATGAGGAAGAACGCTTTGGGCCAGCCCCACAATGAATCTTGTTGGTTCTAAACCAAAATTGTTGTCCCCACATTATGGACAATTACCAGATGTTAGTTTGTTTGAACCTATGGAAGTTGTTATTGATTCACCCAGTATTGAACCAAATTGAAAGTTTAATGTTCAAGAAAAGACTCAGTTGTCATTTACCGCCAAAAAAGAGGAACTGCTTCAAATCTTCAATGAACCCAGTCACACTGTCCTGCTCAGGTCTTGAGAACTCAAGGCTGTGGTTCCTTTTTTGTGTCAATCCACCTCACATTTGATTCTCCTCTTTCCCTGCTCCCTTCACCTTTCCCCAGAATTATTGTCTTTTTGTCATGAGTCTTCTTGCTTCATAATGGACCCAAAATATAAAAGCCTCATTTTAGTCATGTTTTCCTTCCAGATAGGTTTGATTTGATCCAGCATCCCCTTAATTGTCTTGATTGGCAGTCTATGGTATCTTTAAAGTTCTTCTACAATACCATATTTCAAATGAGTATCATATTTGAAATGAACATGATTCTTGTTAGCCTCTTATACTCTGCTTGTATGTTTGAAGAATATCATTGTGTACTCCTCCTTCAAAGGAAACTAGATGTGGGTCATAATGCCCTCACCACTTCTCACAGGTACATCAGACAAATCCTTTTTGGGTACCTACTTGTCAAGTGGTTCTGGCTGAACATTTCAGATATACTACAGTATTTGTGGAGAATACCATAGTGTGATGGCCTTTGTAGCTTTAAGGGAATTAAATTGAAGAAGTAGTTTAAGCACACTGTTGATCTTCTGGTTTCAGAGGATCTTAGCTTTCTAGAAATTAATTCCAAAACAACAACAACAACCCCATTATGTTCATTCCCATTCCCTAGAAATTAATTCCAAAACAACAACAACACCATTATGTTCATTCCCATTCATAAATACCCATTCTTCCGTCTCTATCTGCTCATTATTTTGCAGCAGTCAGGTTATGGTTATTCTGTGAGAAACCAACTGTCTATTAACAGTAACACTCTAAATTGCTGTTGCCAGCATGCTGAAAAGATATAGGGAAATACTCTCTGTTTCTCTCTAGTGACCAATTCTGATAGTGCACCTTGTAAAAAAAAAAAAGCAAAATATAATCATCATCTTAGAACTGCAGACCTGGGAGGGACCCTATAAAGCTGTAATTCCTTTGTCACTTCGAATGGCATAAAACAAAAAAATTCCTCATGAAGGGCCTCTAAAAAGTTGCAAAATGCTGTTTTGAAAGCAAGTAGCTTCCTTTCAAGTAGCTATTGAAAGGAAGTAGAAAGCATTGTTATGGTACACAATATATATTAGTGTAACTACTCATTACATTACTTTGAGAATGTAACTTAGTTGCATCTTCATTATCTAAAAGTGACTAGTTCCAAGTAACGACACTATACGCAACCACTTCTGTACTTTGATATAGACCACATGTTTCAAACTCAAGGCCTGTGGGCCAAATCCCGCCCGCTGGGCCATTTCATGTGGCCCTCACAGTATTCCCCGCTACTGTGCAGCATACAATACACAGGCGCTTACTTGGTTACCCATAATGCTCCACAAAGATGCTGGGAATCCGCCTAGCGGGGCTTCTAATCCCAGCATTCCAAGCAGCAAAGAGTCAGAGATAATTGAATGAGGAAGATTATATTTAATATGAGAAAGAGTAGATACGTTTATATAATCTTGCAGATACAACTGGCTCTTTGAGGGCAACCATAACACCTATGCAGATCAAGAAGAAAATGAGTTTGACAACCTGATATCGGGAGTTTCTGGGCAGATAAGAGTGGGGATCTAGAAATTGAAGAAAAACCCCTGTCATAAAATTCCATGAAGGCTGGGCAGTTGCACAATATGTACTTCACCGGGAATCCCTTTCATTAGTTAACTGATTTGAAAACAATTAGTTACAAAGGTACTACAGCTTATGTCTGAACTGCTGACTTACAGCTTAAAGAACTGTGATGACACATGCTTCAAGATGGATCTGCTAATATAGGACTAGAGGTCAAGATGATAGATTTATCGCTTGCATTCACCGAAGTATGTGTGTATATGTATGCTTCCTAGGAATAAAAATTCCAAATGACATGCAGAGCTTTGCCTCAAAGGGCCGGGTTGCAACTTTTAAGTTCCTTGAAAAATGTGACTCTGCTTGAAACTCCAGAGACATCCCCAGAAGGCAAGGAAGTCTGACTCTCGCCCTCCCACGCATTCTCGCTGGCCAGGGCTCCAGGCATCTTGTGAAAAGACAAGTGTCAGGTTCCACTGATACAGCAGATTTCCTTGTGTCACTTGAGAGATCACTGACATAAAGTTCCGGTAGGTGTGGAAACTGATGTGACAGCAACAACAAGGACTCCCCGACTTGGAAGCGGGAGTGTTTGATTTTAGCCATTCTTTCTGGGAACTGATTTCCTCAAGCAAATACATTTAAAACCAAATGTTTGGAGAAATATCAGAATCAGCCACAGACACCTTTTACTCGTGAATCACTTTCCTTATGAACAGAGTGAACATTTAACTACTGACTTGGATGCACAGGTCTTGTACTCATTTAGAAATCTTGCAGCAACAGGAATTTGAGAATTTTCTTGCTTGAATTTAACCTTTTATAGAAGAGGGGCAAATCTTCATACAATTCCTCATGTTGATTAATATCTTGTTTCTCCCCCTTCTTTGCCGTTTCCCCATAACCTTGTGATACTGAATGGCTGGGAGAGATTGACTGGCCCAGATGAGCTTCATGAACAAGCAATGACTTAAATGCACGTGTCTTTGTCTAACACTTCAGTCCCTATTTCACATGGGTCAACTTGGTTTATTTTTCAAATTCCATACTAAGTGGGTATTTCCTCTGAGGATCTGTGGCCAAGTTCCAAAGAGCTACTTTAAAAGAGCAATCCCTGGAATGTTTAATATTTTATTTTTGCCTTTAACCAGCAGATGCCAGAGCCAAATCATATACTGTACTACTTTTGCAAGACCCCGCCCTTTCAAAGGCAGTCGCCTCTATGATATGGGGGTTAGCATTTGACAAATATGGTATAAAAGCCTACTTGGATGCACAAAACCAGTTGCACTGCAATTTAGCTCATGGTCTCAAAATTACCCACATGGCATAAGCTCAGGCTTAAAATAGATAACTTTGGCCAAAAATGGACAATCATCTAATCTGTCATTGTAGCAACTAGTGAAGCTACTACTTATGTTTGCAACATAACTCAGGCCTTAGACCTTCAGAGCAAATACACATCTTGTAGGCTCCACAAGGAAGCTACTTCAAACTTATCCCAAGGGTACATGAGTTAGCCTCACTGAACAAACAGGGACATTTCGTTATGTGTTACTGAAGATCTGGGACAGTAACCTTAATGCTACCACCTGAGAAGGGAACCCTTCAATCAGAACATCTTGTGGCAGCTTTATTGCGTGTCCTTCCCAAGGAGTATGTATTGCATCTTCCCTCTTCCATTACAAAGCCAACCCGATGCAATGTGCACTGCACATATTTATCACAGTTAACAAATTTGAATCATGTTCACCCATCACTACCTGTTTTCTTGAGATCTAAGTGGATAGATACCTTAGTGGGTTTTTTAAAAGCCCATCATACAAAACCAATGTTAACAGCTGTGACCTCCTGAAGACAAGACAGATGTCATTAATACCAACAAGAAATATATGTGCATTAAGTAACCGTACAATACATACCGGTACATATTTCAGGGGCATCCAAAAGCTCCCTGGATGTAACAAAAAACAACAAGTATGTTACAAACCTACAAGGCTGCCTGGCAGCTATGCTATCCCCCTGCCCCAGTTTACTGATTAGCTTTTATCCAGCAACAAGGAAGATAGCTTTTGCTATGTTAGTAAAATACAAAATACAAGATCAAAGACTCATACAAGCATCTTACATTCTTTCTATTGTGTAAGTTATGCAAGCTATGACCTGAAATGCCCCTAAAAAGAAAGCATAGAATGTTTGGAGCAATGAACAGCAAGCAGCATGCCTTACAATTCATGCCTTTCGTTCTCACAGCTATATTTCTGCCATAAATACTGCTCCACTACTACTGAAAGGGCTATTAAAATGTGCACAACACAAAAAGTCAAAATTATAGATGTAGCACACAAGAAATTGAGATTTAGGGGAGTTGTTAATTCTTTAATGGCATTCAAAAAGACTTAACAATCCTTTTATACACATATTCAAAACAGACTTTTAAAGTTAGAAAGGATACTTCCGGCAGGACTTATACTCCTTTGGCTCTTTTTCAAAGAGACAGAGTATGTCATTGCTATAGCTAATTCTCTGTTTTTCAGTGATAGCTATAGCGTAGTGTTTAACACAGTCTTACTCTCTGGTAGGAGGTCTACCTGTCCTTATAGTTTCAAGTTAATGTCAGATCTGTACAGAACAAAATACAGATACAACAACACAAAAAGGGCTAAAATAAATCCCTTCTTACACTACTCATGAGGTGTCAACCCACAAGTGTTTTTCATCAAGAACGAAACCCAATTATTTTTTGAAAAGGGGTCAAAAATAAGAAGCAATATCATTCATAAACAGGAGTACAAGCATCATTGTACCCCTGCATTATTTTTATCTTTGGGGTCAACACATTCAGATTATATTGCACATGTGAAGAACGTATGGATCTGCTGAGCCAGAGTGCGTCCAACGACTTCTTCAAGCTCTGGGATAGAGGCGTTACAAAGCTGATAGATGTTCCCAAATTGTTTGAGGAGAAGCAAGGCCTTCGTTTTCCCAACTCCAGGAATCTGCTGAACTGTTTCGAACAAAGAAGCCTCTAAGAGTGTGGGACTTCTCTTATTCAGGAAGGGGTTACTGGCTCCATCTTTCATCTGCTCGTGCACCTAAAACAAAGAACAAAGTGTGCTCTGAGCACCCTCTGCTGGTTTTTCTTCAGAGTCACATATATTCATATGCATTACTTTGCTATAAAACCAAAAGTGGTCTCCTACAGCACTTGGCTTTGTAAGAAAATAAGTAATTGGTCTATCTAGCTCAGTATTGTTTGCATCAGAACTGGGGACATTTGGGCTTCCAGACATTACTGGACTCCAGTTTTCCAACATCATCAAGTAATGTGGCCAATAGCAGGGATGATGGAAGTTAAAAGTCCAACAACATCTGAAGGATCACTACTTCCCCACCTTTCACAAATACTGCTTGACTCTCTAGAATTTCAGGCAGAAGTCTCTTCTGGCCCTAGGTAGAGTCACCGAAAATTGAACTAGTGTCTTCTGGAAAAGTTACTTCTTCGAACTACAACTCCCACAGCCAGCACAGCCACTGGCCAAGTTATCTTGGAATTCTGGGAGTTATAGTCTGCCTGAGAAACAACTATTCCAAGATCTGTGCAAAACAGTTTACCTCTCTCTGTGTGTGTTATGTGCCATCATCAAATTGCAGCAATCCTCTAGCAGGGTTTTCAAGGCATGTGAGATATTTAAGGAGTGGTTTTTATGAGTGCCACTTCCACCAGAGAGTTTCTATGGCCAAGTCTCTGACTTCGACTCCATCACTCTGCTGAACTGCTGGATCACTCAGGGGCCTAGATATGGGTTGGGGGTTCAATTCCCCACTGTGCCTCCTTGACAGCACTGAACTCGATGATCTATAAGGTCTCTTAGAGTTCTGCAGTTCTAAGACTATTATTTATCCACTACACCACAATGGCAGCTTCATATGTCTCTGAGTGCTAATAATGTAATACAATATAATGGCAATAGTGACCCATAATCTTTGCTTTTAGCCTCTGGTACTGAAATGTGCACAATAAATAGCAATCATATGCCATCAAATCAATTTTGACTTATGACAACACTTTTCCGGGTTTTCCGGGTAGAAGATACTTTGAAGTCCTTTCATCTGGGGGCTCCCTGGGACTGTGCAGCTTGCCCAAGACCACACAGGCTGGCTCTACTTGCAGAAGGCATGGTGGGGAATAGAACCTCCATGCTCAGCCTCTGCAGCCAGATGCCTAAACCACTGAGCTACTGATAAGACCTTTTCCCACCAATTTGTCCTTCTTGTCTTAAAGCTCTCACTATATCTTGTGAAGATAAATTGGGATTCTTTGACTGGTTGTTCTTCCTGTTCCATCTTCCATGCTTTTTGTCATTGCTGGCATAAACTTTTCATTGCAAGCCAAAGAGGATGGGGGTACCCCACATACCTAGGGACCTCTACTGTCAATAAGGAAAAATTACTACAAGCTCCTTAAGAATAATGCATACTTTCTGGAACCAAATACAACAATAGAAACTCAGCATTAAAGTTATCAAAATCAAACACTTATCTACTTAACTTAGTCCATTTTGCTCCCATGTCTCATATTACATTTCTCTGTTTCCTGCATTTGTTTTTCAAATAACAGCACAATTTTAGAAGGTACTTACTAACTGGATAATAAATTGTGCTGCTTCTCCTTGGTTGGCCACTGGAACCAGTGTCATACCAAGTTCCAGGACAACAAATTTCTGCACTGCTGGGAAATACTGGTTACTTATCTGGGTTTTTTCAACTATTATAATTCCTTGAAGATTGCATACCTTGAACAATGAAGAAAAATCAGTTGGAGTAAAAATCTGAATAGTATTTCTGAAGTGACAGAAAAAATTATACAACATAGATACTATAGTGGGTGGATAACATATTTATCAGACCCCTACAATTCCAAAAATAGGTCTGCTTTTGAATCCTGTGTGACTCTTCATCAGGTTGAATATTGCAGAGCTTGGATTCTCCATGATTTGGGGACTTTTCTGTTCCTTTTGCCCCCATGATCTACAATGTCCAGACTGAGCAAGAGTCCTGAAAAATGTGAGAACTTGTGAAGCGCACATATTTCAGTAGTCTAATAACAGCATTATGCATGCCTGTGCACATGCAATGACCATATCTGCAGACATTTGCATGCAACTAAACAGGAATACAGAGGAGAAAATGCAAATGATACAAAGATGCTACACAACTCCATCATGAGGAAGCAAAATGTATCCAGGAATAAGCAACTGATAATGGTGCTGTGGATTTCAGAGAACAAGCCTATACAGTATTTCATCTTCTGGTTAAAAATCAGAACCTACTGGACACTTGTCTTGAATCATATCCAATTACATTTCTAACTTATTCTAACACTATCTCTCTTAAAATGTATACAGCTGCCCCTTTTGTTCTGATCTTGCTCATTTGCTCAAAATAAAAATGGACATACGAAGAGTCACATTATGTAGCTCTTTCTTTAGTAAGAGCCATGCTGGGTCAGCCTAACTGCCGGTCCTTTCTAGGATTCTCTTCATGCAGTGGCTAATCAAATGTCTACAAGAAATTCACAAACTTTAAGCAAGTAAAACCTTTCTGGATATGGAAATATATCACCTGCTAAATCTCAATGAAGGCAATGGTACAAGACCACATGTCTAAGAAATGAAAGAAAAAGTAAAATACAGTAATTCTGGCATGAGGGGAGAAATACTCAAAACGTTTTAATTAAAGTTAGGTAAAGATAAAAACTGTATTAAAAGTTTTTCCCCAGTTGTTACTATTTACTATTGCTATTTATATACTGTTAAAGTAGACTAAAGTTACCATATTTTTCCATGTATAACCCCCCCCACACTTTTCTAATCCAAAATTAAGAAATCCAAGTGGGGCTTAGCAAGTGCAGGGGGAAAGGGATCAAAGCGCTGCAGGATCACTTTGATCCCTGCTTTCCCCTCCACTTGTTTTTGTTCTCTCTTCAGCTTACTTCCGTGTATAAGATGACCACCAATTTTAGTCTAAAGATTTTAGACAAAAGTATAGTCTTATACATGGAAAATATGGTAATTGTTAGTCCCAACTAAAGTAGAACTAATGACTAAATGAGACATTTTATGTCCCATTGATTTGAAAGGTTTACTCTAGTTGGAATTAACAATTCAGCAAACTGCATGTGGTTCTCTGCACAAGACATGTTTCTTGCCAATGTGAGCTATTCTACAAATGAAGAGATGAGCTAACATTTACTTTAAGAAGCACTTACATTTCTAAATTGAACAAGTCTTCTTTTGAAGCCATTTCCCGCAACCATATCTGCTTCAGAAATATAAAGGATACACGATCTATTTGAAAGGTGGAAGTCCACAATTCCCAATCCATCTTCTAAAATCAGATTAACTTTCCCTTGACACAAGAGAAACAAGTTCGTAGTAGAGTATAGTATAATAGAAGGTGACCTAGTATCATTTAAATAGGAGGATGAATCTACATGGTTGTTTAGCTGCTGGTGCTACATGTGGTCACAGCTCAGTGGTCCTTCATGACAAGCCAGGGCTCCTGTGGTCTTGCAATTGTTTAACACTGTCTGAAAATCAAATTCTAAACATTCTGTCCAAGCGTTCCTTTGATTTTAATATGATTTACTTCCAAGAGTGTTTAGGACTACACTTCTACACATGTGCATATAAATGGATATGTCTGACTTTAGAATTTGGCTTATAATTATTGTTTTCATTATTACATATATAACTTGTATTCAAAACTGCCTACGTTGGCAATGAAAATCCAGAGCAATTAAGCATTATATCCATTTCAAATACAACAGGAAACAGAATTTGATCTTCGAAACACATTACCTAATTAATGCAATCAGAAGCAATGTGTTAAGAGTAAAAGTTCACAATGGCTGAAACCCTGCTCATGTAAGTTACACAGCTTAGGATTGATGATTTTTTTAAAAAAAAATTAAACATTTCCTACTTCTGTTCTGAAGCACCCATGGCTTCTGTGTCACCCCTTTGGGAGTCTGTGGCAGCCATGGGACAAAGTCTTTAATACTAAAAAATCAGTAAAATCATCTCACTGGCAGCAGTTTACAGTAATTAAAGACTTCTCCCCCTGCCATAGCCCCCATTGGTTCTTAGTGACAGATTAGATAGGAGCAATGGATGCCTCAGAACAAAAGAATTGTTTAATTAAAAAAAAAATCCTAGCTGATGGTATCATCACCCTGATGCAACATGACTAATACATACAAAATATCAGTCATCAAATATTTTATGAAGTCAAAAAAACCCTTGTGGCATAAAATGGCAACAGTTCATATCCTTAAACTGTCACTCATGTTGTAAGCATAATTCAATTATTGAAAAAAACCCTCTGGTTTATGAATGCATGGTGTAACTTTCTGAATGGCAGTGGTGCTGCGGGACTCCTGTTCGACATCTTGATCTTTAGCCTATGGAGTGTCTCAGGGTTCCATGATTCCCCGTATTATTTCACATATACATGAAAAACCTGAAAAAAGCTGTCCAGAATTGTGTGGTCTGGTACCACCAGGGTGCTGATGACATCCAACTCCATCTGCTTTTAAGATCTTCCAGGAGGCTTTTCTTTCAGTCTCATGCATAAGTGTATGGTCACCCAGCACCCCCCAGCCAATTTCACCCTAGAATTTACAGTACTCTCTTAGACAGTTGCAATCTTCCTTGGAAAAATAACCTTAGTCATTATCCGTTTTCTGTTTCATCAATTTAAAAATTCAGTGTGAAAACCAACAGTATTCTAGCATGAACACGAAATCAACTGAGTCAAATATTTTGACTCCAGCTTCCAAAATCCCCACCCAGCATAGCCAGTGGTAGAGATATACAGATATTATAACTCCAATACATATGGTGAGCCAAAAGCCTCCCACTCCTAACTAATAAAGATAATATTAATCTCTGTGCCAATGACATGGCCATGAAATATCTCATAACTTCTTGACACACAGCATTTCTAAGGATGTTTCAAATCACATGATCATTGATGGACAAGCAAAAGAAAGATGAATTGTATCTCCTTATGGATATCCTTGAGAAACACAAAATTTCTGATTCTCTGAATGTGCTTTATAACGATTGGCAGGGAGAGGGGCTTGGTGACCACGCACTGGGGCCTGAGATACTGAAAGAAGAGCCTCTTGGAGGCCTGGAAGGGCCTCGTACAAATGACTCCCTCCTTTAGAATTTTATCAAGTTATAGAAAAATCAGCAATTTCAAAGGATTTCAAGCTTTAAAAGGACAAATTAAGAAGTTTACTTTAGAACCACGAATGACTTGATTATTGTAAATACGGGGGGGGGGGGGCGGCAAAAAGAGACTTTTTTCAAGTATGCAAATTTTTCTTGTCCCCCCCCCCCAAAGGGCTGTAGCTGAAAGCTGCTTGCATTTGTACAGGGTAAAATAATGTTGTTTTTTTAAATCACAACTCGGAAAGCCTTTGCCCAAACATACCCACATTTGGCACAGAGCAAGAGCAGACCTTCTGCTGCATCCATGCCAAATTTGGTGCTCATCGGAGGTCCAGTTTTTACACATTAGAATGTTTTGTTTGGACTGCTAGCCTTGTTAGCAATACCTGGTAGAACATGTTTCTTTTAAGATGTGCCAATATATGACTGGGCTGATTTTATAAAAGGTTTTGGGGAAAATGCATCAACAATTAAAGGGCTACTCTGGGTCTACCTTTGGTCTAGATGGGCAGGGTAGAAATCCAATTAGATAGATAGATAGATAGATAGATAGATAGATAGATAGATAGATAGATAGATAGATAGATAGATAGATAGATAGATAGATAGATAGATAGATAGATAGATAGATAGATAGATTAGTTGATAGACAGACAGACAGACAGAATTGGAGGTAGCCATCTGAGGAATGGGAAAGATATCTTACTTCCTGCAGTATTCAGAAATGTTTGAAAGCAGCGAAATCCTGCATTTTTATAGGCATTCTATTTGAAGTACTGTGTTTACCTTGTATTCCCTGAGTGATCTGGGAGCCTTTCCATTTCTCGTTGCCAATCACGTGCCCATAAGGGACATTTACCGCTCCAGCTCGAAGAGGGGTGGTTTCATTTGGCATCACCAAACTTCTTTCACAATGTGAACACTATTCATGGTAAGCACACACAGACAAAAATTGTTCTTCAGACACAAAACCAATTCTTCAGCTGACAGGTATGACTGTTAGAAAAAAAACCACCTCTTGCTCATAGGATTTTTGTGGCTATTTTTTAAATTTGCAAGTTATCACACAGCAATATTACAGAAGGAAAGACTTCAACAATAGTTATTGAGTTAAAATCCCCACTGGGCCATATAAACTCACTGGAACAGTAAGGGTAAGTGGTAAAACCACAGCTCAAATATTTCTCTTACATTCAAAATCCTATTAGGGTTGCTTTAAGTCTGATGAGACTTGATGGCACATACACTGCTCAAACACACTTTTGACTAGAAAGTCTATGAAATTTTCCATGTGTGGTCCGGCCAACCTAGACTCTTGAAAGTGACCTCAGACTACATTAATCCAAATCCAATCTACATTTATTTGGAAATGTTCTGCATTCAGAAGAATTCCAAAGCAAGTAGGCATATATGATTGCTGAATTCGCATTTTGAACTATACAGACAAGCAAAGATAGGATCACAGCAAATAAGTTTTTATTCATTGGCAAGTCACGAGACCACTATAACCAACTTCTCCCTCACCCCTTTAAGCCTTTAAGTAGTGAACCAACCTCCTTTTTACCATTGAAACAATTTGTTGAGTGATGAGGGAGAAGAAATAAAAACCTATGTACTGTAGGTCGGTTGCCTATGCAATAAGATATCTCTTCAGTTCCTTGCCGTGGCTTGTCCTCACAGCCTGACAGTGATTTTGCCTAGTATCATGAAGGCTTCATGGCTTTAAGCCTTATTAGTTGCAGTAGAAGGTCGGTCCAGTTATCCCAATGTTTTCTGATAAGGGCATAGGGATTCTACTATTTAGAAGAGGTTCTTTTGCTATTTTCCCCAACTCTCTTTAGATCCCTGGATCTTAATGCAGAGACAGTTTTGGTTGCTCCAATGTCATCACTATGCTGATGACACACAGCTCTATCTGTCCTTTACATCTTCAGCAGTGAATGCTGTACAAACCTTGGAGTGCTGCCTGTCCTTGGTCATGGACTGGATGAGGCTAACAGACTGAAATTAAATCCTGACAAGACAAAGATCTTGCTGGTGGTGGTGGGGATCATGCCTGGCTAGGGGGGTCGTTGCCTGGTCTGGATAGGGTTACTCTCTCCCTGAAAGACCAGATCTGCAATTTAGCTGTGCTGCTGGATCTGGCCCTTACTATATAGAAGCAGATCCTGGCCATGGCCAAGCCTGCCTTTTTCCTGCTTAGGCAGATGGCTCACCTGCGGCCCCATCTTGACTGGAAATCCCTAAAACACTAGTTCATTTGTTAGTAACCTTGAGGATTGACTAATGTAATGCTCTCTATGTGGGGCTATCCTTGGAGGTAGTCCAGAAGCTGCAACAGGTACAAAATGCAGTGGTCAAGCTGGCTTAGTTATACTGAGATATGATATTATGTGATTTTATCTTAATAATGTATTTTTATCTTCCTGGTCACTGACTGTAATAAATTATTATCATTGTCATCGAGATATATGCCACTAGATAGGTGGGATAAAAACAAAAACAAGCTAACTAAAATTTATTGCGCTTATTTTTGGAAATTATGGTGTGAAGCTCTCTAGCCAATCATGTTATTTTGAAAATGAGGCACAAAATCTATGAAGAAATCCAGCTTTTGAAGTAGCCGTCTTACTCTGTGAAAGCATTTCAGACAAAGAGAGAGACAGACAGGCAAAAACACTGTGATATCTTAAAGACTATCTGTTGAGTTTTAATGTGCAACTTTGTGGATCATCTTAAAATTCATCTGAGGAAGTACACTTGATCTATGAAAGCTCACATTAATATATAGCAGCTGATCTTTAAAATTCTGTCACATTTTTACTTTTCTTTGTCTAATATACTAAACCAGACATTCTCAACAGGGGGCATAGCACATGTGAAGGGGGCTATAGACTGAACTCTGTGAGAAAGGGAGCCCCATGGGTTTGTGGGGGGCCCTGATAAATGAATCAATTAAATACCCAAGAAACCCTTTGCACAGGCTTTGTGATTTTCATAGCTTTCTTAGAACAGAGAAAACAGAGGCAAGTCTGCCTGCTACCTCCCCAGTGACTGCTGATGCAGGCACCCTGTCTTTTTTTCATTTGAAGCCCTGCCTGGTTGTGACTGGAAGCCAGCCATGATTGTAACCTGAGGCAAATCTGCCTACTGTCTTCCGAGCAACTGCTGACAAAGGCACCCTGCTTGTTTTTCATTGGAAGCCAGCCATGATGCAGCCTAACCTGCTGGGGCAATTCTGCCAGCTGCCCTCCCAGCAACTGCAGATGGAGGCACCCTGCCTGTTTTTATTAGAAGCCAGCCAGGAATGAAGCAAATCATCTGCCAGCTACTTCTCTCAGGACTGTAATGGGTGTGCAGCTTAACTCACTGACTGTGCTGGAGAAGAAAGAAGCAGGGCAGAAAAGCAAGGTAGTTTTTACTTGTGTCTATTTGAAGTACAACCCACCCAACTTGAGGCAGAAATTCAAGAGAGTCTGATTGATCTTCAGAGTGATTTAACTGAACAGTTACACGTGCACAGTCAGGTCAGTCAGTTTCAAAAAAATATTTTGGCTCAAGAGTGATTTGCTAAATAATTTCCAACACTGGGAGAAAGCCTCCCCTTTTTTAATTGTCATTCCCTCAGCATATTTGGTTGAGTGTGGATCCAGCAAGGTAGTTTCTTTGAAAAAAAAATCCAGGGACAGAATTGATATTGCAGCAAGAGGTGACCTCCGACTGTCATTGTCTAATCTGGAGCCTGACATCATGAAACTTGCAGAAAAGCATCGAGTTCAAGGATCCCAGTACGCCTAACAGACGTTCCATTTCATACAGCCTTTTAAATTTTTTTGTCAAGCATGACGGAATGTCCATGTTTTCTTGAGGTTCAATAATAAATGATTTTTTGTTCATGTTCATCTGCATCCTTGTTGGACGGGGGGGCGGCGGGCGGGGCTGGAACCAGAGAAAAGGCGCCTGGGCCCTGGCGAAAACAAAAAGTTGAGAGTGGCTGTACTAAACAAATCTATTTCGCCTCTAAGGGGCCGCAATTCGCCCGATTTTTCTTTCTGCCACCCAAGTTTTCTACGGTAGCCCTCAAGCCCAAGATGAAGGGAAAGCACCCAAAGGCGACGCGTAGCCACATTCACAAGAGGGGGTTCCTTCACGTGAGGAGATCAGGAGAAAAGGCCCCCCCCGGCTCAGGCGACAGACAGCATTCGCTGCTTACCCGCCGATGCCACTCCGGGCCCCGTCAAATCGCGCTCTTTCTACCGAAGACCCACCGCTTTCTGGGCCGCCCGTCGCTCCCCCGCCCGGGAAGCAGGCTCCGCTTCTTCAACCCGCGCGCTCCGGAAATGACGGACCTCCTTCACCGGCCAATAATAAGCCGAGGCTCAGAAAAGGGGCGGTGCAAGGGGAGGATCGTAGGCGGGGCTTACTCGCCAGGAAGGTGGAGCGAGTAAGGCGAGCCCGGGCTCTCCAAGAGATCGAGGCTCTAGCCAATCGGATGGCGGCTTGTTCAAGGACGGTTGCGATGGGAGACGCGCCCTCCCTCGGAGGGGAGAGTCGTGGGGATTGTCAGCGCCTCTCTCCCCTCGCTCTCGAAGGCTGCCGCGGCCTTCGACTTTCTCGCCCGGTTTCATGGCGTTCTATTTGAGGAGAGGCCGAAGAGGCCAGTTTGTGAGTATCCGCCCGGATGAGTGAGTTGGGGTGGGACGCGCGGGGGTGGGGGTTGGAGTGAGACTGAGAGGGGGGGCGAGGGTGGGAGAGGGGCCTTCCGGTGGAGGGTGGCTTTGGTCGCCATGGCGACTAGGTAACGCGTCCGTGCCCGCCATCCCTCTTCGGGCTGGGCGAGCGGAAGGAGATTTTGTTGGGAAAGTAGAACAGGCAGTTAAAAACAAAAGCAGTTAAAAATTATGAGAGGAAGTGTTTGGCATCTGAAAGCAGAATGAAACAAAACAGCAACAGGATCTTCTCTGCTTTGCCAAGTTCCGTCGTTGCGATCTTAGAGAACTGCAGAGCTGGAAGGGACCCCGCGGGGATCATCTTCCAGGCCAGCCCCTGTTAAGGAGGCCCAGTGGGGAACCGAACCACCGAGCTGTCTTGCCAGGCCCTGCATAGTCTTTGTGAAATCTGGAGCTGGAAAAGTGTTTGGTACCATAGTGAGGTTGTGCCCTTGTGTTCTGCTCTGTGTGCAGGCGTACCCAAGAGTAAGGTTTGCTGAATACAGGGCAGGCTGGCATCTGAGGTGATAAGGCCTTATTGGTAGGTCCAGAAATTTCCAAGGCATTGGTTCACTCAGGCAGCTGTGTTCAGGACCCACCATTATGTGAACCCAAGTCGGCTTTATCCTGGTGTCCTTTTTCACACCACGCTGTCTTCCTAAACTGCACAGCAATGTGCTTTTGAACTTAAGGATAAATTCTGAATAGCTTGTGATTTCATGATAGAATTAGTGGTTTAAATCAGTTCTCTGTGTGTTGTGTGAAAAATTCCACTGGGTCATTGCATATGTGCAAATATCTCTTTAGTTCCCAACTCCAGAAGTTTGAAAACTTCACGTTTGTAATATTTTTCTAGCCCTGGTTATTCCTTATTTTTTAGGGAGGTACTACAGTGGTGCCTCGCATTACAACGTTAATTCGTTCCAGCGAAATCACTGTAGAACAAAAACGTTGTAATGCGAAATTAAAAAGCCCATAGAAACGTATTAAAACCCAATTAATGCGTTCCTATGGGCTTGAAACTCAGAGTCCAGCAAAGATCTTCCATATGGAGGCCATTTTCGCTGCCTGTGCCGTGAGGAATCCGTCCCAGAAAAGAGCAGGGAGCCTTTTTTTTTACCCGGTGGCCATTTTGAAACAGCCGATCAGCTGTTTTAAAATCGTCGTTTTGCGAGAATCGGTTCCCGAAGCAGGGAACCGATCATTGCAAAGCAAAATTCCCCTATTGGAAAAGTTCATCGAAATGCGGTTTCGTCGACAAAAAGTTCATCGTAATGCGGTTTCGTCGATAAACTGGGTGCCCGTCTTGCAAGGCACCACTGTTTATTGTAGAATACAGATTGTTCTTGAAGCAAGATGTATCTGCTGACTCCAGAAAGATTGTATCAGTAGTTCTGCTACTGGTGTCAGTAATATCCAGTTGATATTTATTTGGAATACGATAGCATGAATAAAGAGTCAAGAATTAACATTTTAAAAATTAGCTACCTTTTAAATATGCCTTACTTCAAGGACTTAGTATATCTGTACATATTATTTAGGTGGTGGGAAATAATTATTATTTTCAGTCTATGAATGCTGTACCACCATTGCAGTGGGTAATGCAGTGGATCAGGGTGTAAATCTTATCAACTGTGGGGCTCACTCTAGTTTAATTAACTTCAGTGATAACAGGAATGCTGTATACAATTCATACCAATGGAGTCCACTTCATACATTAAATTTGCATGTAAATATTCTTCCATTTTGTGTTACTTTGTTAGACTTTGTGCATGTGCAGTTTTGTGTTTTCTCCATTATTCTAGTTCATTCATTGCCAACTAACTTTATTTTAAATTGTCTAGAAACATATAGCTCATGGCCTGATCCCTGCAGCTACCATAGCTCCTAAACCTGCTGTTCCCCGCACCCCTCCCCCTCGTAGTCCAAATCCTTCTCCAGAAAGGCCCAGGTAGGTTTGAATGTATTTCATCTTTTGATTATCAGTCATTGCATGAAATTAAAACCATCAGTTAGTAGGTCTGAATATTTAGAACATGTGTGTTTCTTTTTCCATGCAGCCTTTACATAAACCAGATACATGCTACCAATGTATACTATTGCGTCTGTGATAGGGATTACATTATTCATTTGCAGGCGATATCTTTTACTCTTACATTTTAATTTTCTATTTGTATTTTGTAATGACCACACGGTTCCCTTTGATTTCACTGTTATTCATTTCTATATGTTGTTTTCCCATATGAGAGACAGATCTTTGCAATGGGTTTCCCTTGCTAAAATAAGAAGGATTTATTTGACAATCAATGGACTCTGGTTCTCTGTAGTATTGGTGGGCATGGTATAGGCTCCTGTATACATTTCCTGGATCCATATTGATTTCCTTTTCTTTCTGAGTCTTTCCCCCCCCTCCAGTCATATACAAACAGAGTTCTTTTGCTTTTGGAGCTGCAGACCCTGGTGCAAATCTAGTAATAATAAACTACTTAGGTCTCAGTGCAGTGGCAGGAAAAGCAGCCCAAAAATACCGCCTAGAGTTTCTGAAGGACAACACTGCCCCAAATCACATTGCTGCCTCTCCAATGCCCACAGCATCACTCCATGTTCCACCAGTAGAAGGATGAGTTTAACATGATTTTTAAACATCACTAGATTCTAGGGACATGGTGGTGCTGCGGGCTAAACTGCAGAAGCCTGTGCTGCAGGGTCAGAAGACCAAGAAGTCGTAAGATCGAATCCACGCGATGGAGTGAGCGCCCGTTGCTTGTCCCAGCTCCTGCCAACCTAGCGGTTCGAAAGCATGCAAATGCAAGTAGATAAATAGGGACCACCTCGGTGGGAAGGTAACAGCGTTCCGTGTCTAAGTCGCACTGGCCATGTGCCCACGGAAGATTGTCTTTGGACAAAAATGCTGGCTCTATGGCTTGGAAACGGGGATGAGCACTGCCCCCTAGAGTCGAACACGACTGGACAAAAATTGTCAAGGGGAACCTTTATCTTTACCTAGTTTCTAGACAAAGTCAGAAAAAATGCAAAATAAAAATCCTTAGCAAATTTCTTATTTTTTTTCCATTCTGTCACTTGGCATCCAAGATACCAAAGAAACATGTTGCAATCTTCTTTTCCATTCAATATCTGGTAGATGTTGGAACAATAGAACTGGCACTGTCTGTGAATCAATGTTCCAGTTCTTTCTTCCTTGAGCTGAAACAGCCTAAAGAATGGAGAGCAAGTGCTATGTTAGTCCTTGGAAATTTCAGAGGGAAATGCTTCATTCTATTTTAAGCTGGTTAGGTCACATGGCCATGAACCAAATGAAGCAAAATTTGTTGAGAGAGATATTTGATAGAACCACAGTTTTCTGGCTACATAGGAAATGGATTTTTTCACATCTCTTACCAATCACAAGTGAGACAGTTTTATTCTGTATTTTGGATGGAAGAAGTGAAAGGAATAAGATGTGTTGATGGCAGGATGGTCCCATGATCACCCATATATATTTCCACCAACAATACTGCTGGGAAGAATACTGAACAACATCTGAATAGAGATCCATTGGGTAACTCTGATAGTCCTATGCTGGCCAAAAAGAACATGATTCTTATAGTGGAGCTGCAGTAGTCACATGACTGGATCTTCTCAACCACAAAGCCATTTGTCATCCAGATTCAGATTATCTACACTCTACAGCTTTATGCTTCGCTGTGGAGAAGAACATACTGTTCAGGGAAGGCCATTCTGAAAAGGCGATCTCCACTGCACAAGTTTCACATAAATGACTCCATTAACAGGCTGTATGAAACAATATGGAAGGACTTTTGCAAGTGGTGCTTTAATATTACCTGTGGTGCAAATATTTTCCCTACTGTAGAGTTCCTCCAGGATTGTTTGGATGAGGGTTTGTCAGTGGGCATTTTAAAGAGGTGACTCTTGGCATTCATTCTGGGTTGACACTAAGACACATCATTGTATCTCTACCATGATATTAACATGTTTTTGAGATAAGCATTTTTCAAAATATCTCCAGTAATCCACAGATAATCTTCTTGGAGTCATAACATGACATGAAGGCACTAATGAGATCTTCTGCGTCTTTTGCAAATTTTGACATAAGTTCCTAAACCAGAAATTCATTACAAAGACCAGTTCTGCCTTCATCCATCAGAAAGTTTTGCTTGTCTTCATTTTGGACTAGTCCGTTCAGAAGACTAGAAAAAGAATGGCAGAGCCTTGGTGTGCAAAGGGTGTTTAAAACTAGCTGAAACAACTATGACTTTTAAACTTTCAGATTTTCTTTGTGTCCCTTTCTGCTTTGCATGATTTGACAGAATGTCAAAGTATCTTAGAAGTATGACTAGCAGCATGGCCCACCTAAGGGATACTGTAAGCTTTGTTATGTTCCATTGCAAAGATTCCCATCTCACCTTGGGAGGAAGTAAGGTTGAAACTTAGTGTAGATGCTCCTTTTACAGAGGTAGAAAGATATCTTTCCCCACCCAGAAAAATACAACAAAGTAATGGGTGTTCTGGGCAGGAATTCTTCTTGGAAGCTGGCTGCTGATCTGTTTCTGGTCTAGCCATCTTGGTTCTTCTTGTTTCCCATTTCCTGTTTTTGTTTTTGCTTTTACTTTCTAATATTCTGTCTATTCTTTGGTTCGGATATGAGTGGAAGCTCAGAGTCACCCTGCTACACTAAATAGGGCCAAGATACAGTGATTGGTCAATAAATACTGCCCTTTGAACCATGTGGGACAGTCCCATTTTAAGGCTGTCCTGTCCCTTTGTGAAAAGAATGTCCATGATAATTTCCAGTGTTAGTTTATGTTTTACTTTAAAATTATATATCAAGGATGGGTAGAATAATTTGTGAGTCAATGAAAATAACAATGAAATAGTCCAATTTTCTTTTTTTAGTGCTCATTTTGATGGCTAATTTTGGGGCATTATGGAATGCGTACTATTCTTCCATCTGTGAGCTGGTTGACTAATATCTCACAACGAAACAATTGTGATAATTGCAGTATAAGCAGTTGGGAATTATTCTCTAATATTGTGATTGTGGCTCCACCTTTGCTTTTGTTACCTTACAGAGATTAAGACAATGATCCTCACTCATTTAGCTGTGGTTCACACTAATTTTTTCAGCACTGTCAGTGATCATGCCTTCTCACCAATCCAAATGTGTGAGAGCCATGCAGAATGCTCCTCAATGAGAGGAGAGAAACTAAGCCAATCAGCGTCTCTTTTTTCATAGGTTAGGAGGTATGTGCATAGACTCTCTTATATCCATTGTATGTTCAGGTAGCAAATGAGGATCATAACCACTAGGTACATAGTTGCAGTTGAAGCTAGCCTGCACAGTGCTTTAACTCTCATTATATACTGTCAAAAATATCTCTTGAATACTTTACTACATTTTTACTCTTACCTTGTTTTCTGATTCTTTTTTTATTACTGTGTTTTTTTACCTTCCCAAAAACCTGCTCATAGTGTAGCAGCATCATTTAGAGAGAGTTTATAGAATATGGGTTGCAGTTCAGTATTCCAGAAGTGAGCAACTTGTAGTCATTGTGATATTGTTGGACTGTAGTTCCACCTTCACTAGTCCATGTAATCAGTGATGGGAGCTGCTGGGAGCTGCAGTCCAGCAGTGTCTGGGAAGCCACAAATTGTTCACCCCGAAGTAAATCCAGTTGAATCCAGAGAAGCTTATTTCTCAGTTGACATATGTAGCAGGCAAACGATGAGGAGAGTTTTTTCCGGACAGTAAGATTCATGCTTCACTGAATGGAGAAACAAATTTTGAAAGCCCATTCAGACATGCAACTCGCTACCTGCTGCTTGAATAGTGCAGGTCAGAAAGAGCTGTAAAGCTTGATGTTGCTCATTTTATGAAGTTGTTTGAATTTCCTAATGGTGAAGAAAAGTGAAGAGGATCAAGTGCATTTCTTGCACCCGAATTCCACTGCTGCCCATATGTGTTTGGTCTGTACAGAGTGCTAAGATTAGAAGCTGACTTCCTTGCTTATTATACGGTAATAAAAGCTAGTAAGACTTGTCTGTATGCCACTCGGCTCAGTTCATGGATTCTTACATCAAAGTTTCCTGCATGGCCAAACCAGGAAACTGATTTCATCTCAGATCATAAATGAGGATTTGGCCTAAATCCATTTATAATCCCAACTGTTGGTTAGTTGCTATACTGGTTTTAAATGGTTTTGTTTATTATTGTAAACCACCCAGAGTAGTGCTTCAGCATTAATGGGGACTAGTGTACAAATTTAAGTACTGTAATGAAAAAATAAACTAGAATTAGACCCATTGACCGAATGATAAATGATGAATCCATATTTAGGTAAATCTTACTGATTCATTGCTTCTGCTGTAGTTGCAGTTGTGAGATTTAGGGCTTTGAAACACCAAACCTAGTTTTAAATCTTTGTTCATAAACTAAGAATTAAACTATATTTTTCCATGTTCAGATTTAAGAGATTGTTGTGGTTTAACAATCATTGGGAGTTTTTGTGGTGATGTGCTAAAAAGGGAAGAGGAAAGGGAAAATAGGCATGACCATGGTGCTCGTTGGGATGTTGGGAAAGTGTGATGGCAAGAGGAGAAGGGGACGACCGAGGATGAGATGGCTGGACAGTGTCTGCGAAGCAACCAACATGAACCTGACACAACTCCGGGAGGCAGTAGAAGACAGGAGGGCCTGGCGTGCTCTGGTCCATGGGGTCACGAAGAGTCGGACACGACTAAACGACTAAACACACACACATGGTGCTCGTACTTCGTCTATTAAACAATGGTTTGTTAGTTTCAGATATCTGCATCTAGAACAGCGTCTGATTAAAACATGGCATAGGATTTCTTTATATTCTTGTAATAAACAAAGTTGTTAATGCTTGCTACCCATAACCCAGAGTCATATTCATGTATGAGTTTCCTAGCAGATAAACATTTTAAGTGTCTGCTCCTTCTTTTTTTGTCCTTAGCATTTCAGTGTCATAATAACAGTGGAAGATCCAGAACATATGCTCATACTTACCTGGCAGGGGAGATACCTTGATCATGATTGTATGCTCATGGAAATTACAAAATTACAGTATAGTTTAACTCTATGATTCAGAGACTGATGAGTACAGTAATTGACAAATACTGTGACAGAATAGATCATTTATTGTATTCAGGTTTCTTTCTTGTTTCATGCTTGAAAAGAAGAAGGCTGTATTGAGTCCATGATTCAGCTATATCTTCATGTGGAATTAGGTGTCATCTGATGTAACTGTGACAACCCCAGACCTACTGGGATATGCCACAGTTTCACCAAGCTGCCACCAACCATTCCCTATAAGAAGTCACACAGACCAGGGATGGATTTTTAACAAATAAAGGAATAAGGTTTATTTAAATAACACACAGGGAAAATAAAATGATCAAGTGAATAAGATACAGTAACGTGGCTTAGTCTCAGTCATACATACACCAGTTTGGTTCACACAGAACACCTTTCAAATAAAGCACAGACCCTGAACCTATCAGTTCTGGCTACCCATACAGACACCTGAACCTATCAGGTTGGTACTGACTGACACACAGTAGTACCCTGTCTGACACACAGACTCCCACACCAGCTTCTTCTTCTCAGCTGCTTCTTCTACTACTAAGCTTCTCCACACAAGCTCCACAGATATATACAGTACAGCCCCACCTCCTGATGTCCCGCCTTCCACTCCCCATAGGATGGAACTTTCCCTCCAAACCCATGACAGACAGGTAACATCAGTGCTGTATGTAACAGTAACATAAGCTGTGCATTTTATAATCCTGATAATGAAAGTTGCATTCCCCACATTCATTACCCTTCATGAACAGGGAAAACAGCCATCACTTTTTTAAATTTAATTTTTTGCATTTTGTAGATCTGCTTTGGCAGCAGCTATTCTTGTGACAACCTTAACTGGACGAACAGTTGCCATCCCTCAGCCTCGTCAGCGGTCTCTCTCTGAAAGTGATGCCAGCAGTTTGCAGGACCGAGAAAACTGTATTCAGCCATATGCCACTGTCACTGAGCTGCGGATGGGGTAGGATATACTGTAATTTTTGGCATGCCCTTTGAACTGATTTATTGATTACACCAGTTGGAAAATTGAGAAGGAGCTTCTGTCTCTAGCAGTGAGAGTCCAGCATCTCATTGGATTTTTGTGCTGGATGCAATATGTCTAGATTCTGTAGTTATATGTCCACAAGATAAGGACTTACGCATAAATGGCTCTGGTTCTAGTGAGGATTGAGAGTGATCCCTTTTCATTGAATACAGAGGTGGAAATATTCTCAATATAGTAGTAATGCTTTTAATATACATATGTCTTGAGTCTTTTATTTGCTAAATGTAAAATTAAACATGCCTCAGCAAGGTAGTCTTTGGTTGGGAATATATGTAGCTAGATAAGAGGCCACACACACACCATTATATAAATGATTAAGTAAACAATAGTCTGTTGTTTTCAAATATTTCAACATTGCTAAAATATTAGTTTTATAATGAGGCCATTACTATTAATGTTTCTGTGTGCAGTCCAAACTGGAAAAGTGGTGGTGATGATGAAAGAATTGCTGTTCGCTCTTTGGAAGTATCTGACAGTTGTTGTGATGATGAAGACATGGATACAAACCCTTCAGACACAGAAAAAGAAAGACTTCCAGTCTATAAGGTTATTGATAAAGAAGAAAGTGAAGCCTTGTATGCTGTTCCACACAAAGTTAAGCAGGTAAGCTTTTAGATGTATATTTCTGCCAGCTATTTGAATACAAACAGTGCCTAACTGTAGTTGACACCTGAAAGGTTATCTTATTATCAAGTCCACTGGCAGCAAAGTTACTTTCTTCCACACCTTACATGACTCCTGTTCATCCCTTAATCCACACACACAAACATATATATAGCGTAACCAGAATGATTTCTAATTAAAACTTTCCAGCTCTTGTTAAATGCTAGACATTTTAGAAAGGACTGACCTGATACCAATTAAGAGATGTTATACAGTATTTGTCACCAATAGTGGGAGCTGTTTCAGTTATTTTTGTAATATGAAAAATATTTTTAAAACTCATCCTAAAATAAAAAGAATGAAATTCTCACCAAAATCTGGACAGATTTTTGACTTTAGGCTGCAATCCCATGCACATTGCCCTGGAGTTAAATTTTACTGAATTCAATATGGATTACTTCTATGCAGAGAGGTAGGATTGTGTACCAAGACACAAATGCGTACATTGTTGACTGAAAATGACAGGTATGCGTTGATGCTTGGGTTTTCTGACATCTGTAGATGCAGTAAAGATGTACACATGTACATCAGTCTAATCAGTCCAGTATCTAAATGATAATTCACTTGTAGCGTAAAATCTACACATACAAATAGTACCATATTCAAGATTACAGTATCCAAAAATCCTGCATAAATTACCACAGTCTTGGTTCCATACTTCTTTCTTGTAGAATTAAAACTGCAATGCAGTGAATTCAAACATCATGCAAATACATAGGAAGGAAGCTTACTTATGTTTTAGTGGAAAGCTTCTGTGGAATGCAGCCCAGTTCTGCAGAGGCTCAGAGTATTGCCTCAATACATAGAGATTCATACAGCAATGTATAGTATAGAAGATAAAATATATTGGAAAGGTATCAGAAAACATACTGTGAAAGAGATGAATTAACTGTATGCATACAAAATCCTTTTGCTTGCTTTTTTAAAGAACTGTATTCAAATGTATTCAAATGTACATGCTTCAATTAGTTAATGAAATGCAATTAATGTTCTCAGATTTTTTTAAAAAACAGTGACAGGCTGAAGAGAGCTCTTCTCTCCTAGCATGTGTATGAAACAGAAGCCATTCTAAGCAAAGCAGGGTTTGTCTCAGTCCATCATTCTGGGCAATGCAAGATAGGCTGCCAACAGTACATAGGGAGCTCTGTCTAGGGCCTAGGCAATGTAGGTTAGTCCTTTCAGATATAACTAAAATCCTCTGTGCTAGTATAAAAGTATTTGCATAAATAGCAGCACTGTGTTACAGCCAATTAACATGTTTCCCTCTTGTATTCCTAGTTACGTACAAGTTGCATGACAAGTGGCAACTTCTTAGTTAGTCTCAATTCACTACTGTGATTTATGCAGTTAAATTTATGCTGGCATAAATCCATAGCAGGATTCTGCCCTGTGCAAGCTGCAATACATAGACTGTCCTTTTGTCAGTGAAGGGGTTGAGGGAAGTAGAGGTTGAGGGAAGTAGATAGAATGCAGAGGGAGGGAGAGGCAAACAAGGCTGAAAAGTGATGAAGTGGAGGGAGAAGAGGCTAGAACTATCCTTGTGTGCAACATGTACACCCCCTGTTGGGTTTATGTCTTTTTAAACCAATCCTTTCAATATGTAACATGTTCACATTTCTAAGCATGCGCACCGATGGCCCATAGATTTATAGATTGTGCTGCAATTGTGGTATTTTTGTTTTTAGGAAGGACACCCAGTATCCTCTAGTGCTGGTGATGAAGAAGATGAGTCTTCTATCCATGTACCCTCTTGTCTCATTCATCCAGATGTTCAAGTGGAAGGTTACATTATTTCTTGCTTTAAGATAATGTTTTTAAAAATATTTTCAAGGTGATTAATGCTAATTATATCTGAAAGTGAGGTTTGCAACAAAACATTCCAGCATATCCCCTAAAAGAAGTGCTTCTGTCCAGAGTTCCAGGTAGGCTGGATCAGAAGCCTTAATAGTGCTGTTTGGGTCTCCCCCCCATCTTCCCTGTTCTTGGTGAATAGAGGTTCAGAGCCAGTAGGAAAGTGTAAATTCTTGTGTCTTGACAAAACAAGGCCAAAACAAAACTTCTTGTTCTGGAAGACAGGAAGAAACCTACTCCAACTCTTAGCTTTGCCCTTGCAAGGACAGCAGATTAGGCATCCTTCAGTCTTAAGAGACTATGGTAACGTGCTCTGAATAGATGACTTGGAACAGCGTCTAGTGTGGCTGAGAAGGCCAATTCGAGAGTGACAATCCTTTTCACACTGAAGACAAAAACAATCTGTCCCCTGTCCAGCTCCCTGATTTTGCTGGTTTTGGGACTGCCTCTTTGAGTGTCTCTTCAAAATGGGAGAGGCCATGATGCACCGGCTGCCTCCAGGCTGAATGCTCAGACGTCAAGGTTTCCCATCTGTTGAGGCCCATTCCTAAGGCCTTCAGATCCCCCTTGCAGATATCCTTGTATCACAGTTGTGGTCTCCCCTCTGGGGCGATTTCCCTGCACTAATTCTCCGTACAAGAGATCTTTGGAATCCAACCATCAGCCATTCTCACAACATGCCCGAGCCAACATAGACATTGCTGTTTCAGTAACGTATACATGCTAAAAATTCCAGCTCATTCTTGGACTACTCTGTTTGGAACTTTGTCCTGCCAGGTGATACCAAAAATCCATCAGAGATGGTGGATCGATTAGCTCAAAATCCACACTGTGATTCTGAGTAGACTCTGTCTGCAAGCACCTGGAGTCTCTTCAGCACAACACGAGCAAGCAGCTTCCCTGCAACGCTGAAAAGAGAGATGCCATGGTAGTTATTGCAGTCGCCCCATCTACTTTGTTCTTATACAATGTGACGATGTTTGCATCCTTCATGTTCTGTGGTACTCCACCTTCCCTCTAGCAAAGACAAAAGTTTTCGTACAGCTCAGTGGTGATCATCTCTTTACAGCACTTCAGGAGGGATGTTATCCTTCCCAGGTGCTTTGCCAGAGGTGAGGGAATCCAAGGCCGCTTTTATTTCTGCTGAAGTTGGTTCGCTGTCCAACTCTTCCAAGACAGGCAGGCACGCAATGTTATTTAATGTCTCTTCTGTTACTACATTCTCTCTGGAATATAGCTCAGAGTAGTGCTGCACCCAGCGTTCCATCTGCTGTGCTCTACCCTGGATGATCACGCCAGTAGCAGACTTTAAAGGAGCAGATTTCTTCTGTATTGGACCTAAAGCCTGCTTGATACTGTCATACATTCTCTTGATGTTACCTGTGTCTGCGGCTATCTGTATCTGAAATAGTCTAATGGAAAGGGAACAGCCAATACAACTGGTTTCAGTGACGGCTAACCTCCCATCATGAGTTATGAAGCTGTATTGTTTCAACAATTTGTAATTAAGATTAAGCATGGTGGTGCTGTAGGTTAAACCACAGAAGCCTCTGTGCTGCAAGGTCAGAAGACCTGCAGTCATGAGATCGAATCCATGTGACGGAGTGAGCTCCTGTTGCTTGTCCCACCTTCCGCCAACCTAGCAGTTCTAAAGCATGCAAAATGCAAGTAGATAAATAGGTACCACGGCACTGGCCACATGACCATGGAAGATTGTCTTTGGACAAACGCTAGCACTATGGGTTGGAAACGGAGATGAGCACCGCCCCCTAGAGTCAGACAGGACTGGACAAATTGTCAAGGGGAACCTTTACATTTACTTATAGTTAATATAATGCAGAATTGCAGTTAAAATGAGCAGAAATGGAGATAAATTTCTTCTTGCATAACTGTTAAATCCCTTTAAAATGTAAATTTTATGCTGAGGTTTGAGGGTGGGATTTAGAATGGTTTTGAGAATGTTTCCTCATTCAGTTATCTGAGTCTTGAAGGGCTATGCCATATAGTGGTTTGTGATGCCATTTTTCTAGTATTCTTGGAAAGAAGTGTAGGATTCATGTTGGGTTACAAACTTTAAATATAGAGCAGTGTTCTAAGAAACACCAATTTCCATTCAGTTATCTCAATATTCAGTGGATAATATCAGTCAGTTAGATGGAACGCTAATTGGGTAAGTGATCATTTTCCAACATGAGAGAGAAACTGTGGTGCAATAGAAATGATTTTTGCCATGAGATCTTTTGCATTTTTCCTTTATCTTACAGATATAGTGACGTCTCGACTTATGACCATAATCTGTCCCAGAAGATGGGCGTAACTCGAAATGGTTGTAATTTGAAGCACCATTTCCCATAGGAATGCATGGGAATAGAATTAATCCATTCCAGCATCGGAACGCGATGACGCAGCAAAACATAAGCACACACACCAAAAAAGGCACTGTAAGCCTCATCAGAAAGTGATGAGGCTGCACATTTTTTAAAAAACCAGAAACAAACAAAGCCAGTCCCATTCGAACACAATGGGGCTGTAAAAAATAAGCACACACACCAAGAAAAGCACTGCAAGCTCCATCAGAACCCAGTGGGGCTGCAAAAAAAATCACCAAAATACAAAACAACAACACAGCACAGAAACATAACCCTCCCCAGCCCAACCCCACTCTGCAAACCCTGTAAATGTACTAACCCAGGAGCAGAAAGCAGCACCAGGCAGTCCGAAGCCTCTGATGCACACACTCTAACCCTTGAAGCGAAAGAGCCCTTTTGACCCAACGGTTATTTGAATTCCCCACCTTTTTCCCTGCTCTTTTCTGGTTGCAACTCGAAGCTCCGGTCGCAAGTCAAAGCAAAATTTTGCAGCCGGAGCTGGTCGCAACACAAAATGGTTGTATGTTGGGACGTTCGTAAGTAAAGGCACCACTGTACTTGGAACATTTATTTTGAGCTATCTCAAATGTAATAATGTCTCTTTTCTTGTACAGAGCTTGAACACTCTGGAATGAATTTTAAGGTAAGGTCAGTGTAAACATTTTCATGTTACATTTGGTCAAAAAGTTACATGTGTACCCATTTGTCTTATTTCTATTTTACTCTCCTCCAAAAAAATCTAGTGGAATGAATATGCTTCTCTCCTCTATTTTATCCTTAAGATAATACTCTGAGAAGATCAGAGTACCCTTGTATGAATGAACTAACTTTGCACTAATTCACGGGGAAGCTTCTCTAAATAACCTTACAAACCAAAGCAGAGTTATTGCTATGTTTAGTTTGAAACTGCATTTTTAAAAAAAAAAGTAGCGTGAAGTATCAAATGTCGGGAGAGGGAAGTCTTGTGTTCATAAGAAAAGACTATTTAAGAAGTCTGTCACTGTGTACCCATACATTCATCTAAAGCTAGTCATTGGATTCAAAGTCATAGAATTCAAACCAACATTACTAAGACATAGTTCATCCTTCTTTTCTCCCACCTTCGATTTACTAGGCCAAAATTTTGAAATACCAACAGGCTGTATAAGATTCTGAGTGAGATTTGTTCAGAGTTGTTGGAGATTCAATAGGGAATATGTCATACACTGATTCTTCTATAACAGCTTGCCTGCCAGAATTATCTTGATTCCCTCTTTGTTTTGTATCTTGCAATTGTAATCTTGTTTATGCTGATGTTGTTGTACCTGAGAAATGTTTCAGTAAACCACAAGCAATAAAAAATTGCTAACATTTTAAATGTAAGGTGTTACTTTTTAAATGTTTGGCACATTTTTTCTGGAGTTACTGCAATTCCCGCCCCCCCCCAAAAAAAGTATGCTTCAGAAGAAAATAAGAGTGAGTTGTTTTATTTTCTTGCTAGGTGGAGAACAAATCAGCTGAAACTCCATTGAGTGAAAAACCACCACCGTCTCTAGGTAATAAAGCTGGTTTCCTATGATGAAGGATATTGGATATTATGGACTTGGGTTATAAACTATAATTTATATCAGAGTTTCCCATGAGGAAAACAACTTAGTTAAACATCAGCCTCAAGTACTGCCCCTACTTGACTCTGGCATGACTTTGAGGAACAGTCATGTTTTTTGCACCCAGAAGTTCTTGAACTACAACTTCCAGAGAGCCTGTCCAGCACTGCAGTAGTGAAGGCTTCTGGGAGTCTTAGACCAAGAACATCTGCGGACTCAGAGTTGGGAACTTCTGCTATAGAAGGATAGGCTATTCACTTTTTTTAAAAAATAAGGATGAGTAAACAGCTACCATTGAACAGAGGTATGCTTTTTCCTTGTGTATTAGTTCTGTAACTTCTTCACAGCTTGGAAGCCTTCAAACTACCGGGATGAATTGATTTCTGATGTAAATATGAAGCATTTGGTACAGTACTTACCTAGATATTTAAGTTTTTTATTCTTTCTCCACTCATAAACAACAAAAATAAGCTGAAATGGTTAGAATTGTGAATAAGTCCCAGGGGATATTCTGAATGCTTATACCTTTGATATTTAGTTTTAAATGAATGGATTTTGCTACCATGAAACTTATTTTTAGATAAATATTCTTTCGAGTGTAACTTGTTGATCAGCTGGCTTGAATGCTCTTGTGACTGATGAATATCCCATTCCATGCCATTAGTAGATGTGGTACTCCACAAAAAGCAAGGAGAAATGATGAAAAAATTAAAAGAAGAAAATTGGCGTTTGAACAACACAAGTCAGATCCTGTCTTCCCAACTTGAGGAAACAAAGCAGCAAATGAAGGAACTCCAGTTAAAAGTCAAGAAACTAGAGAAAGAAAATGCTCAATTTAAAGAAACTGCCCAGAATTCACAAAATGATGGTAGGAGTGACTTCACTATACATTTCATAAATCATTGTTATGTGTGTGAAATAGAGAATAATATTTTATAGTCATATAGGTTAGTAAAAACAGAAATGAAGATTTCTGGTTTCATCATGACCGTGCAAGAAGTAGGGGAGGGAAAGCAATGAGCTTGTGAACCCTGAGGCATACTTATGGCTTGGCATTTTACATTTGCATTGTCACTATTTTATATAGTCAGTACAAGCTGAAACAACATTTGAAGGATGACAGCTTATATATTATTTGATTTTCAAATAGTATATAATGTGAGAGATTATTATTACAGTTGCAGTTAGCATCTAGACATTGCTACTATTAGAAAAATTAATTTATCCTTACTAGAAATTGGAGTTATTTTTGAGACTACAACTTCTAGAACTGCCCAGCCAATAGGGTCACTTTTTGAATCTCTGGTACTGTTGGTAACGCAAAAATGTGTGATGTTATAGCTAACTATGTGCCATCAAGTTGATACTGACTTATGGCAATCCTTTACAGGTTTTTTAGGTAGTATTCAGAATGGGTCTACCATTTCCTTCTTTTGAATGCACTCTGAAACTGAGCAGCTTGTCCAAGGCCACATAAATTGGCTGTTCTTCTAGGAAGGGACAGTGAAGAATTGAACTTTCTTGATCTCTGGCTCTGGAGCCAGATACCTAAGTTACTGATGTATCCAACCAACCATAAGGACTGTTGGAATACACAGACATATTGATGTTTAAATTAGAGTTTAGTTAATTGTCCTTTCTGTACTTTTAGTGCAAGGCAGGATCTGCTTAGGATGAAAAGACCCCTAGGCAGGCTGTCCAGTCAACTTCTCTGTTCTGCTCACTGTTCACTACTGTGTGCTAAGCTTGACATGTACTTGTACGAGTGTGCTTCTCATAAAGGTAGCAAGGGTAAGTTTAGCCTCAGGGTCATAGGCTTGTGTCAGGTGTTGGTGGAAAAGGGTTACACATCCTGCAAAATGCTTAGAAGCTCATAATAAAATATCAAAGAAATTTATTTTGGTTGCCTTTGAACTTTTCATGGCCAAGGGAAAAAAATAGAAAAAAATAGTTCTTATCAAAATAAAGACCAGTGTTACTGATAATGAACATTTTGTACCTTGTTCAGCCTACTTTATGTTCAAATTACAGAAATCTGATGGGTGTTTTTAGGAATGCAAATGTGTATCTAGATGTTTGCCTTATAAACATATTATATTTAGAGTTTGATCCTTTTCATGTAGTGTTCTGAATGTCTCTTACCCATATTAGTTATTTCAACAACCAGTAGGTCATTGCACAAATTTAATGCATTTTTTTAACTGCAGAAGAACATACAGAATTGCTTTTGTTAAGACAGCAGGCCCAGGAACTGGTAGATGAAAATGACACTCTGAAAATGACTATTCATCGTTTAAATGCAGAATTGAGTCGCTACCAGACTAAATATAGACCAGTTTCACCAAATGAGGTAATATTTGGTTTTAAGTTTCATAAGAAAACAGAAGTTGTTGGGATTCTTATGATTGTTTTTGACATATATTCTCTGTTTATTTTATTTGACAAATAAGACAAAAGAGTTCATTCAGATTAATGTTCTGTGAAATGCTGTTTGCCTTTTTCCTGAGATATAGCAAAGCCTAACTCTGAGATACCTTTAAAAATGTCAGAACTTTTTTTGAAAATTAAAATAACAAGAAGAGAAGAAGAATTATTACCAAATTCTTTCTCTGAGTGTGGGAACTAGGATTTGAACAAGTGAATAAATTAGGAACGGGTACTGATTTCCTGAAATAAAAATGATTTGGCTTTGGAAATAAATGTAAGAAGAGTCCTGACGGATCAAACCAAAAACCTCTCTAATCTCTCATCCTGTTTCCTACATTGGCCAGCCAGACGTGATGTGAGGGCTACAGCTGTCTCCCAGTTGATTCTCAGCAACTGGCATTCGGAAATATGTTTCCTCTGGTGCTGGAGATGTCATATAGCTATCATGATGATAAATCTCCATTAATGTTTCTGATCCAGTTTTAAAACCAGTCTGAAATGCTTGATGGAACCCCATCACATCTTCAAGAAGAGAATTTCATTGTTTAACTATATGCTGGATAAAGAAGTGCTTCTTTTGTATTATTTTGACCATTGCATTGCTTTGAATATTCAATAGCCATATTCAAGGCAATGTAAATAAATTGTATTATTGAGGTAGAGGGATACATAAAACCTTTTCATACCTTTCATAATGTTGTGTACCTCTATAAATTTTATTCAGATTTTGGCCAAAGACCATTGAAACATTGAGTCAATACACAAAACTAATAAGAAGTCAACAAAACAGCATCTTCATAGCCGTATACAGTATAACAAGTTCCAAAATGGCTAGAATTTAAAATATACAGTATATATGCAAAAGACTCTTATAAAATAGAGAAGAACTCTATTTTTATACTGTCATCCTTTATTTA